GGGTTAGAAAAAGGAAAGAAAGAAAAAAAAGAGGAAGACGAGTCACTCGGGATGAGATTTTATTACTGTCGTTATCTCCTGCCTTCCTGTAATTGGACGATAAACGAGGAGCTTCGACGATGGCGCGATTTTCAAAAGTGACCGACGTATCTACGTCAACGTGCATGATATCTTTTGGATAGCTTGAGTGACTGTGAATTTTGAAAAAATGTGTAATTTTTTTTTTTGATAACGTTGCGTAACACTTGGCTGCCGTTTGGTTTAATTACAGGGCGCAGTTAGTATCGATTAACTTCGTTATGGACGATCGATATATTTATAGGGGATGGTAATTTAATAAATATGTAAATTTCATTACACGAGCTTTCCATGCGTATTAATTGAATCGAAAATGTATACCGTGGCGATTTGTTGACGATGGTGATATTTTGGTGGAGAAATTTGAAAATTTGCACTTTGAGAAGGAGAAACTTTTTTTCGATAAAGATATCCCGATGAATTGTCTTGTTATCTGTCCTCGTGCATTCTGAGAGTTGGCCACGCTTAAGTCTTACGTCTCCCTACGGTAATGGCTGCGCTTTGCCGCCTCGTTAATGGGGCAACAAATTTTCCCAAGAACATCCCTGTCCCTCCCCCATGATGCCACCCAGTGTCGAACGGAAGCCTTATAAATTTTAAAGAGTTTAATTCTGTGTAATTACCAAAGTTTCCTGCTGTTCTGGTAGCAAGAAAGAAGACCGAGTACCTCAAGTTTTTAACGCAGCTGCCTGCCGACTCCTCCCTCTACCCTCTATACCTTTTTCCCTATCTTTTCACCTATTTTTCCTTACATTCTCACCGCCGGTCTCTCGCCGTTATTGCGCTACGGAGTTCAATCAAAAGAGCCTGCGACTCTCGCGAATGCGAGCCAACGACGGTGGAAAGAAGATTGATTGACGTTTCCCTGTCGGTAAGGTAGAAAAGCGATCGAGTCGAACCGAATTAAAGATGTTCCGATACACGAGCTGGAAATGGAAATTCTGTGAACGCCCTGTCGTGAAACAAGCCTCTTGAAATCTGCCTTATCCCTAAGGATTTTTGGTAGGCTGCGAGAAAAGGGATTTTAAGAGGAGCGACAATCTATCCTATCTGGATGCTGTGAGCTTTAAGATGAATTTCGTTGGATAAACGAACCGTGAGAAATTTTATCAACCGTCGCGATATAAATTACAGGTCCGTTATCTGAATAGATGTTTGATACGGAAAAAAAGGGACAAGACTAACAAGTCACTTTTAACACATGAAATTATGTAATATGTGAATAGGAGTGATGACGTCAGAGTGAAAATTTTTTTGGATCGTTCTTTTTAAATTTGTCAATTTTTTTCGAAATTTGTATCAACGCAATTATTACTTTCAAGAAATTCGATTCGGTATCGTTAAGTCGTGTTGTGATTAAAAAAAAATCATCCTTCCATTATATCCCACGATAATTTATAATTTAACAAGTCACTTTCGAAAACAAAATTTTCTTCAATTCCAAATCGAGTTAACCCGGATTTCCTGTCGAGGTAAAAACACGACGGCTACACCAATACAATTTCGTCGCTTAATTGAATTTAAAGTAGAATAACGATTTTTACAAATTTTCCACCTCTGACGTCATCGCTTCCTACAAGCCACCTTTATAAGGTTAAAACAGAGACCGACAAGCAAGCCAAAAAAATATTAACTTTTCCTTATCTCTAAATTTCATAAGCTCTCTCGACCCGTCGCGCTTGACCACCCCTAGTAAGTTACGTGATTTCACCCCCTAAGGACGTTTGTCAGCGACAGCTTGCTTCAACGGGAGTCAGACTGTTTGGAGTATTGTGGGCAGAGCATGCATTAAACAAGGAGGTGAAAATCTAGTCGGCCGTTTTCCACCCCTTACAGTGCAGTGTGACATCCCTTATGAATAATCATAACAACAAAGTCAAATTAACACTACAACGCCATATCGTGAAATATTATTACTGAAATATAATATCTTTGATCACGAGTGTACTGACGTCACCTTCGTGAAAGTAAACGATGGTTCATCCCTCGTGCTCTCATTAAATATAAATAGACAGCCAAGTAAGCGAGGTGCAAGATATCAAAAGCTCTCAAGTAGGAATCAAACCAACGAAGTGAAGCAGGTCGAAAAAGGAAGGACGTCAAAGAGCATGGAAAAAGCTGAGAGAAAAGCTCGACAGGTCAGCCAGCCAGCCAGCCAGCCAGCCAGTAAGCCCAGCCACCTTGGACCTCGGAAGTAAAGGCCGAAAGCCAATCAATAACGAAGGATGAACGATCCATTGGCCATTGGCACGGTTCCTGGGTATATAGAGGGTGACGCTGCTCCATGAATTATTTAGCAACGACGAAGTGGCCCTCGGTGTATTTACCCTCAAACCGAGCTGAACCTCGCACCCTGTGGTTGGTGCCTCACTTGATTTCAGCCCCTTAACCGACCCACCCCTATCCGATATCAGCCGGCTTCACTGTAGCAGACTTCCATTTGTAGCAATGTGCGTGCACCCTGTACACGCTGCCAAGAAAGTGCCGTCTGAGGCACCCTGTGCGTACAGGATGATTTCGGTAAGGTTGAAAAATTACAATGAGATAAAAGAGGAGGACTCTATATGGGGAATGTGACTTTAACGAGCCTTTAAAGAAACGCTGCTATCTTCTTTTTAGTCTATAAATATACCCGGGGCTAAGGGTATCTTCCGAGAGCTTCGGGGGGGTCGAAGCCAATTTTTCAAATTCTACGCCTCTGCTTTCCTTTTACTGCTATGAAAATTTCTCTTTGACGTCTCGCGCTACTGGATTTCCTTCTTTTGTCGCGTAACCTGAAGACGTCGGCTTTGACAAACAATACCCTACTTTTGGGACGATAGCTTGATTTTTTGACAAATTCCTCGGAGTCCTATTTAGGAAGTGTATACGTATAAGCTATTCATACTGCCATACCGACCGATCCGCCACGGCAGGATTCACAATGTAATATCGATTTGATCCTGTGGCAGAGCCACGAGGTAACCGGTCGCGGTGCATAGAATTTGCATGTGAAATTGCAAGGCAGCACTCTACGCAAAGTTCCCACAATGTGTACAGTACATTGTGTTTGACATTTGATTACATGGAAACTGCATTCGCAGGTCTGAACTGTCAATGGAGTTCTGACAACGGTTTTCGCGATGGTTAAAAATGAAGAAAAAATTTAATTATTAATTCACATTTTTCCACGTTCACAGTCAAACAGTTCAATGGACATTTCACAACGGTCTCTCTGTTACTGTTATGTACTAACGTGATAAAGGATCAGTCATAGTTGGCAGTGGCCTTAGTACGTGGTATCTGTATATATGTATACGTGAAATATTGGCGGCACGTGCAGAATATAGAGAATTGGCTTTTGGTGAATATCCGTCCCTACCGTAATGTAGGTAAATTTATGAGGGCTGGCTCAGCTCTTCGAAAGCTCGAAAGCTCGGGTGCTTTTGCACGTTTCGAATATGCACATGCATACTTGGGGTTCGCGTATCAGTGCACACGGTACGAAATTATTAATCGTGGAATGCACGATGCGTAGTGGAATCTATAGGGCTTTATTATTATTATTATCGTTAGAACTAAAAATGGTCCATGATCGTTTAAACGTAATTCGAAAAATCTATATAAACCTTGAACGACTAATTCGGATTTTTTGGTAAAATTTTTTTTTACTTTTTATCTTCTTCCTTCCTTGGCAAACGGGAACGGGAGGGGGGAGGCTGGAAAAATCAACAAAAATGTCCAATTCGGTTTTTCCGATTATCAACCTGGAACAGTCCCGAAAATAAATTCATTCGTTATTTCCGGTTGGACAGTGTCCGGTTCTCCCAGCGGAGGGGAATTAGCTGAGCGGAAACTGATCTCGTTTAATGTAATGGAAAATACCGGGTGCTCCAGAAATTGCTGAACACTTTACTCCGACGCGTTCATTCCTGGGGGTATACCTATTACACCGGAATGAATCATCAGGTCGAGCGCGGCTCCGTTGTTCGACTTGGAGTATTTAATAGAGTTTGGGTTATTTGAAATTTTTTTTTGGAAAATGTCGAAAAATTTCAATACATCGATAACCATCACTGTTAACCACTGTGTGGTTCTCGTCGTTTGACAGTAACAAATATTCCTGTACGCTATCAACCCACGGTATATCCATTTCCCTCGATGGCTCTACATGGGATTTTGACACTTTGCGGTTTTGCGTTAACGACTTTTCTCATGCTTTTGCGCGATCGAAAAAGTAGGAAAAAAAGAGTGTTGGGGAGAGTGAGAGAGAGAATGAGTGAATGAGAGAGAGGAGCGAATAAATTTCATGCCACGTTTCACGAACTCCAGGAATTTTTTTTTTTTTTTCATGATATTCCATTTTTCCCTATACGTTATTTCGGTCTTTCCTGCCTTCACTCTTTATACCCCTTTCCCATTGGCTATCTACCACCACTACCAGAATCCAAAACCATTTCCAATTTTATCGAAACTTCGCATTCTCTGTCGCGGTGTCGTTACGATAAATTCAAAAGCTCTGAGTGCCACCCGAGACTCGTGAGACTTTGAGGTTTTTTTTTGTTTCCTTTTCTTCAGTCAATTGGAAATCGCTCGATATCGTTTGATTCCTTTTCAATTCAATTGGTTCTCTCGTGCGCCTCCTGGATATCAGATTAGGACCCTTTTGCATAGAAATGATTCACTCAATGAGGGTTTTGGCTGTTTAGTCCCGAGTTCTATTTTAAAGCCCCTTGAATGCCTGTGGCAATCAAAAGGGTTTTGGATATCTAAACTTGAAGGTAACCTAACTCAAATTGGGGTCGGACTGAATATACTTTGTCTACCGATTTTTGGTCCAGGAGTGGAGTTTATGAACATCTATGTACCGGTACGTATATTTCAACTTTTTTTTTTTAATTGTCAAAGTTCATTTCCGTTACGTTTTAAAAGCGTAAAAAATGCAAGGTACGTTTACGGGCTTTTTTATTTTCATTGTTTTTTTCGTTTTTTTTTTTTTTTCGTTTTTTATTTCCCCTGCACCGTCGAGGAATTTTTCGTTTGTTACCGCAGCTACCTTGCATGCCGTATGGGGAGGTAGAAATAATGATCGAGAACTCACTACGCGAAAACGAAAAATGTTACCGCCATTTTGCAGTCGTGACGAATTGGCTTTATATTCCCAACTGCGTTATTGAAAATTGCGGTTTCGCGAAACCGTCCAATTTCACGTTGTCATACGTGTGTTAAGGATCGAGTGTGTAGTTCGTGCATTTTCCGTGCGATTCGTAAAGCGCTGTTGAAGAAGTTTTAGGTAAGCCATTTTTTCTCCCAAATAATTCTATCTCTGGACCAAAGATAGAATTTATGATCGCCGTGTCTATGAAGAAAATCCCTACCCACTTATACAAATGGAAATGGTGTATAGACGAGAAGAATTACGAGTCGCAATCCCACTTATTCCAAAAATTTGAAAAAGATGCTGCGCGACTTTGTCTCTTTCTCTGTTAAATAACCTTAAAAAAATATATTCTGATTACAGATCTCGACACCATGTTATACGGATACACGAACAGTATATACGTGTTGGATCACACTCCAGAAGCATTACCGGTAAGTAAATAATATATAATAATTATTATTATAAAAAAATCAAAATTTGATATCGTTAAAAAAAATACTGTTTAATAATGCCCTTAGTGATACGAGTTTAATTGAGTGGTAAATTTACGTTTTTCATTCATCAGATTTTGATACCACGAATGGGGATGCATTATGCATGCATGTATCATGATACTGAGAACAATAATGATCACGTTACTAATTGCCTGCATCGATCGTCATTTATAACGCTGCTGGTCCATCTGTGTAAGTCTAATTCGTCCAATTATAATTGGACGCTAATCTCACACCGCTTAATCCATAATTCATACCAAAGCGCATTAACGAACAAACACCGGAATTCAGTTGACGGGATTAGCGTGGAAAAAAAAAATTTGGCACTACAAGATATTATCAGGTATCAGCGGTAATGAAATTTTGGACGGTAGTTAAATAATTTGCGATTTGGGATTTGGCGCGGACTGTGGACGATTTGGGGTCGGTATTGTTATGGAACGTATAAATCATTTTTGCTAACGTGAAACGGGTTTTGGATAAAATATTCGCACTGTTACGTATAGGACAGTTGCAGATTCTATCCGCGAGGCGCTGCTATCGATTCATAATTAAATTTCCTCGATCGGTGGATTTAATGAGATTCACTTAGGACAGTATAATAAGCTTACGCAACCCTGTAGTAACCATTTGTGAATTTTTGAATGAACGATAAAAATATTTTTGCCAATTTACGAATACTTCGCGAAAATCCTCGATCTTCTCGTGCTAATATTTTGCACGTGCCATACATCTAGCGACTTCGAAATAATTGATGAAAAAAATCTGATTAATTTAATTAGCGTAATTCGCACGCTTATCTATCTAATCAATTGGACAGCTGATCGAAGTTTGATAGATCGCTAAATTCGCTAAACTGTATTGTAAACTCGATTAATTGTACGGTCAACCCTTGCGTACAGCGACGTACCCCATATCCTGTAACCTACCCCCAACCGGTACGTTTAACGCTTTAGCTACCCGTTCCAATGCATAATTAGTTTTCCAATCAATAATTTATCTTTGAATTCCACCCTTGCTCCCACGACCGTGCAATTACATGAGATGTATTACCATAACACTCGTTCCGCTATCCACCCCTGTTGTCGTTCGCAATAACGTTATTTCATATTCAATTAAAAAAATCATCCCTCGGGAAGTTACGGTTGATCTACTAAAAGAAAAAATTATTAACCGAGGGATGATACGTTTTATAATTACACGCTGTCCATAACAGTGTTAATGAACGAAAAATTTAATTAAGTCCCGAGTAAAAAATTTTTTGCGATAAACATTTTTAATTACAAAAATATAAATTTTTTAATGTCACGACGGACCGGAGTAAATACGATTTTAGAGTCACGTGTTACGATGAAAAAAAAAAAAAAAAAAAAAGTTTTTCCGATCTAAATTTTTGGTGACTATCGCAGGGTTAGTTTCTTGAATCAAAAAGTTAGAGGGTTCGACTCCTGAAAGTTACACCCATTTTTTTTCGTCAACCCGTCAATGTCAATTCTAGCCGAAGATTTGAAAGGACTCTTTCCACCCTCGACACTAGAGACTCCTCGCAGTAGGCGGCCGTACCACGAAAATGTCAGAAGCAATGCCAACCAAGAGGAACGCGAACACTGGCACGCGGCAATGGCCGGCATCGCCCACAAGACTAGGAAATCCTAATCCAACCAGTAAGGACAAAGGGTATAGTTGACTTACTCAAGTCAACTATATACGACGACTGCCGCAGGAAATCCAACCCTTGGTCCTTTTTTTTTCCAACTTCCCCCAGAGACGAAAGCACTTTATGCAACAGCCGCTCGTCGGCTTTAACACATGGCTAGTATAAACCGTAAAAAAAGAAGTACACAAATTTTTAAGGGATGAATGCTATCCCTATAATTTCATCCAATTTTCAGAAATCATCCAGTCGTGACCCGAGCTTTGACCACGAAATTCAAAAAAGAAACCCCTTTCGCCAAATGACGACTTTTTCAGTAATTTCAACCCTCTTTCAATCTCTATTTATTTAATTCATCCCCTAAGTCTGTCAGGGGCTTTGGAAGGTTCTTCTGGACCTGAGCAACAGGGAGAAAAATACATGTAAGATACCTTTGACATCTCGCTGATGGGATACGTGTCCCGGTAGATTCCCATGGGATATGCGAACTTGAACCACCCCCTATATTTACACCCTTATCGGGACTTCGCTCGTGTCGTAGACTGATTTTGATGGATAACTCTGAAAGTAAAATCTCTCTCGTGCTCCTTTCCAGTTTCATCCTTGGCATCTGTATTATCGAAGTTTTTTCTATGCTTTACAAGTTTACTTCCCACACTTAGCCATAACTATACGTAGTGCGCGAATCAATCCGTAGATGGCGACTCGTAAGGGTGACTTTTTTCTCTCTACCCGTGTCCTGTCCCTCTACCGGACCACCAACGAAACGTAAAAGTCCCTAGGACTTACTACAGCCTTACCTATACCATGCCGAGGTAAACACCAATCAGCCAACAATCGTTCCGTGCTTTACTACCCAACAACTCCTAGTCTGTTCTCCAACCCCACTCTTCCGCCCTTCGTCTTTTAATCCCTTCAACTCGACCAGATAACACACATCCTCCCCACTTGTCATCTCTAAAAACCGGTCCAGAACAGACCCAATTCTTCTAACCCTTTGGGCTAGTCATCCCCTTCCAAGAGACAACTTCTCAGAACTGAAAGGAAAGTTTGAGCACGAACATCCCTTGTAATGTTTCCATAGTTACCAACCTTGGAGAATGATGAACCCTCGTGGGTAAAACGATATCGTGATGGGGGTACCTAATTGTTCCATCTAGTAACTATATACACCCCTGTGGTGGGTACATGTATAAGTAGGTGTCAAGGGGTGTACCCAACGAAATATATAACGATGAAAGCAGATTTTACACTTTGTTCGGCCACACAACAAACTTGCGTAGCAGCGTCATTGTCCATTATTAAATTTACTTTTTTTAAGAAAAAAAAAAAAAAAAAAAAAAAAAAAAAAAAAAAAAAAA